TGTAAAGTAGGTTAGGTTTATGATTATAAGATAGTGATACATCATAAAAGTGGTTTGCTTTTACAGCCTTTGCTATTATGTATTGTGCATAATAAGCTACACTACATAAACAGGTAGTGGCTTTTGCAGAGTTGCCTTGGACATGGGAGTTAATTGATGGTAATACCCATGTCTGTGCTAACATTTTTACAATGTGTTGGTATTAATAGTATGTTATCTTTTACATCATGATAGGTGTGTATCAGGTGTTGCACATGATTAAGTATGAACAGGTGGCGATACAGAGGAAAGTTTATGTAGTATTGTTAAGATGGTATGGAGTTACTTTCATTTCTTGGTAATTATGGGGACTAGAAATAACTTGGCTCAGTCTATGCCAAAATCAGTTTAAGGTAATTACCTTGTTTATTTGTTCTTTTCAGGATCGTGGTAAACTGAAAAAGTTAAAACACAAAGTTTCCGCTAAACAGCGAAGACCACTAGCTGTGAAAAACTCTCTGTTAAACAGTACTCTCAGCAGCAGTCATAACTCTGCCAATGATACTTTTGACAAACTCTTGAAAGAGGTAAAGTAAGTATCACTGGATTTTTAAATATTTTTTTATTTTTTATTATTATTATTATTATTATTATTTTTTTTACATTTATGAAGCTTTTCATTTCAGGAAAGTTATATAGTGTAGTACATCACTAAAATACTAAATGAATAATGATAATGTTTACTTGGAATATGTTAATCTACTTAAGTCACCATGAATATGACACTTTTAATTGATGATGTTGACAGTAACTTTTGTTTGTAGATTTGTTTTATGAATTCTGTTTAAACATAGATTCCTCTGCAAGCTCTTTAAGGTCCTTGTTACTTGGTTTGTTTGATCTGATCATTCTGTGAATTTTTAAGAAGTAAAGTTTTAATTTCTATTACTATTATTATTATTTATAAAATTAGATATAGGCAGAATGACCCGTAGTTGTACTACTGCTAACAAAGACATTGATGATATGTTTTATTTTATTTTATTTTGTTTTCTTTTAAAGAAAACAGGATTCCTATGTTGAAAGTTAATCATATGCAGCAAAAAGAAGCCAATGTTATGATGCATTTTAGTGATTTGTTTAAGGACACTAGCATTGTAAGGTGGCAAGATCTTATAATTAAATTTTCAATTCATTAGACAATTTTTTTGTTATGGAGATATTGAGTAACAAATGCTACTTGAATTATGGAATAAAAAAAGTGTAAAAATTATTGCAAGGACATTATCAGTGTAGACATTGATTAAATATAGACAATTAAATCTCATAGGAAAGTAAATGAAAGACAGAAATATTTTCAAAAATTTCATTTTTGTTTTAATTCATTTCAGATTTCCCTCTGTGGTTGCAAATAGTAGTAACCACCTTTCATCGTCAGCTGGAAGCTCACTGGAAGCTGATGGTATCTTGTATCAGTCCCTCTTTTCTTCAGTAGCTTGTTCAACAGCAGCAGCACAAAATCATGATCACAAAGAAGAAACAAAGCCTATTTCGCCCACCAAAGAATCTAAGAAAAACATTGAAAATAAAAGAGCAAACAAAAGGAAAAAAGAAAAAAAAGAAACCAAAGCTTCAAGGAGTAAAGCTGCTGGAAAGACTGGTGGAAAGGCATCTACAAGGAAGAATAAAAAAGGGGCAAAACCACCAGTTATTGCAGACCATTGCCAAGATGAAATGCAAGAGGTTGCTTCACTGTTTCCTTCTGGGACTACATTTAAGGTACCAGTTATCCAGCTGCACAGAATAACGACCTTTACCACACCTCCAGTCTGTCGAACACAGAAGAATATCAGTGAAGAGAAGATGGTAGAAAGCCCTTTGGAGGTTCAGCATAAACCTAAGGAAGGGCTTAGGGGAAAGTCCAGTGATAAAGGTGATGTGATAACAAGCACTCCAGCAGACATCAGCCGGCAGAAGGCGGTGTTAAAAAATGGGAAAACATGGAGCATGCCATCAACTCCAACTCTTGAACACTTAGTATCTCCAGTGCCAAAGGAAAGCTACCTTGTTGCTCTTAGTAATTCATCAAATTTTGAATCTCCAATGTCTTTTAAATCTAAATCAAACATCCACTCAAATCATGAAGGTCAAAGTGAACAATCTGTAGAAAGCAGATATGAGACCTGCAACTCAGAAATAAATTGTAAGTCTTTAGACAGTTCACCAGCTGTGGCATCTGAAGCAATAGGAATCATTTCCAGATGCCATCAAAATGAAAACTATAGAGATAGTGAGAGTGAAGTAAAAAGGTTTTATAATAGTTCTTTGGAATTGGAGAGTGGCCCATTCAAGGGGGTAGTTATACCAACTCATTACAGTGCAAAGGCGCAGAAAAACAGTTTTTGTCATGCTGAAAATAGTGAACCAGAAATTAGTGTCGAACTTAGCAAGGTCATAGGTTTAAGGAATGTAGGCACTGCTAGAACGCTGACAAATAAAGTCACTACTAGAAAAAAGAAAGGAGCTGCTGTTGAGATTAGAAATGAATTTGAATCTTCAGCAGACCTCTCCACTTTAGAAAGGTCTTTAGCTCACATGTACAAAAGAAATCGAAAAAACACAAAGCAATTAGGCTCAAAATTATCACTTAAAAAATCTTGGGCTAAGCCTTCTCCAGTTCTGACTAGACTCAGGTTGAAAGCTCCCAGACAGACTAAAAATTATGATACCTCAGTGGACAGTGTAGTGGCAGCACCAGAAAATACTAAATGTACTTCTATAAATCTATTATCAAGCATAGAAAAGTCTTTAGTCATAGGGAGACAAAAAAGGATATCTAAAGGGAGAGTTCGTGCAAAGCATCATATTCACTTGGAGATTTCAGACACAGACACTTCACTTGTCATTCCAAGAAGACCTCCTAAGAAGCTGAGTCTTCGAAAAAAAAGGAAGGATAATGCTTCCTTGAATCCATCAAATAGAAATAGCCATTGTGAGCCTGCAGAAAACACATTCCAGTTCATGTTAGATGCTGATTTAAGTAGTGTCATTGTGGCAGAAAATTCACTGGTGAAGAGAAGAAGTGGAAGATTATTAGCCATGAAGCAACAGACATCTGTGTCATCTCCAAAGTTATTGAGAAGGAAATCTGCAAGATTGTGCAAGAACAATTTGGATGAAAGTGCAACCAAGTCTCAATGTGAGAATGAAAACTATATCAATACAAGTAGAGTTCAGAATCAATCTGATCTCAAAGAACTCAGTCTGAAAGACTTCAGCAGAATGTCTGCTAAAAGTGTACAGGGTTTAGAGGCCAATGCAATGAGTTTTGGGTCAGTAAATTCTACAGTATTTACTGACTTCCAGACCAGGAAAGAAAGGAGAGGTAACCAGTTGGTGTACTGTAAACTAGAAGCAAGTGAAGACATATTTGATACCTCAGATACCAATATTTCAAAAGCAGACAATGAAGAACCAGTTGGTTTTGAGGAACCACAAGTCACTGATAGAGATCTTGAGAATGCAAAGCAAATAAGTTCAAGTGAAAAATGTATAGATTCTCAAGAACAAGCACCACCCAGGGGAGATTCCTGTCACTTGGCTGAAAGCAGCATTTATGAGAATTCTCTTTTGGAGTTAGAGGAACTGGAAGATGTATGCAGAAGTGTGAAAGTACAGTGTATGATTCCCATGAAGGGTGGCAAGGGCTGGAGAAGATCCTGTCTTAGCATGGCTGCAGCAAAGGTAAATTTTCCATTTTGTAAAGCTTTTGAAATTTGAAATTTTGAAAATAACATTTTTTTTTTATGGTATATGACATGCTAGTCATTTCTGTAAAGAAGCATATTTTCACTTCATATGCAGGCATACATGTCCGAACATTTTTTAATGTAGTTTAGGTAAGATATAACATTTATATTTAGATTATTTTGTGTACTCTTATAGCCTGTATTGAAAATTCAAGAATGGCATTGTGTAAATGCTTTTCTTCCTCCTCTCTTCTTTCTCCTTCATCCATCCCTGAAGTATACAGACAAATACAAACTAGATAGCATTCGAAGAGCACACTTTCACTGTCAAAATGTAAACCTAACTTGAATTCATTTATCTTGTCAGGAGAAAAGGAAGGGACCCATTGATTTATTATTGTCATTTTATGTAATATATTCTTGATTCTTTTCTTTTACAGATCCCTCACAGACCGGATGAAACAGGTATTTTTTATTTCCACTTCATTTTTTGTTTGATTCATTATTTCCTGTAGATTCAATTTGTTCGGTCAGGGAAGAAATGGTTCCCTGTCTTTGAAGGTTTTATTATAGAAAGAGAGAAAGGAGTCATTTTGTTATACTTTCCCTCCCAATACCTTGCTCACTGTTGTTGTTGGGGATCTTAGGAGACTGGAGCCTTGGACTTCAGCCCTCACCTCATCTAATTTTGTTTAGTCTTTCCTCTTCTCCTTGCCTCTTCTGTATCTTCATCCCCTTCTTCTGTCCCATTCCTTAGGTGTGAGAGCCGTGCAGAAAGGATGAAACGCTGGCTTTATGACAGTCATGAATGGCCTCTGGGAGCCATTGGCACTGTATTCCCTTGGTTAATTGTCTACCCCTTATACCTTATAGGGACCTTGAGGGTAGACCGCTTCATTTGCCTGTTTTATTCAGACTCGCCATGGCCAGTAATGAAGATTCATTACCCTTAATAAAGGTATTAAGGCATACCCCTTCATCAACTAGCTGGTCTGATTTGGAATTTGATGGTTTTCCAAATCCTGCCCCTCCTTTGTCCATGGCTCTCACCACTGATACTAATACCCCCTCCTTGACATTTATTGACAATTCTATCCATTCTGAAACAACCAACTCAGGTTATTACTCAACCTCCAGAATGCACCCTTCTTCTTTGCCAACATTCTCTTCTCCATCTTCTACTGTAGTAGAAGATCAGTAACATCAGAATCACAAATTTGTGCACTGGCTACCCTAACTGACCTTACTGGTAAACCCATTCCTGCCGGACCTCACCTCTCTCTTAATACTTTAACTGGAACTGTTTCTATCCCCCAACTAATTGTCCCATATATGACAAGAACTGGTCAGATTGTGAAAATGACCTACTTACCTGCCTTATTGCTTATGATGCAGTAGCAGTACAGTGCTACACTGTTCCTCCCAGAGGCCAGCACAAGTCCCATGTCAATATTGCCAAGATTAGCTTCCACAGACATTTATATTGGTAGATTGACCTACCATGTCCTACCATATCAAGCCCTTCCTCATCAGTCAGAAATATTGACATTTTGGCCACCTAACTCAACACTGTCACTCAACAGACCACTGACCTCTATGTGCCCAACCTGGGCACATAGTGGGCAGTACATATGCACTTACATGTGCCAACTGAGTTGACTCCCATAATGTGTTTTTTAAGAGCTGCCATGCCCATAAGCATGAATGTGAGATATCAGTTCTCAGATACAAACTGAGATTCACAATGATGAGGCTTTTCTCTCTACCTATTCCAAATCATCTTTGCTCTGTACCCCCCCCCACACACACACAATTTCCACAAGATGTTTCTGCATCTCACCCAGATGTCTTCCCTCTACCCTGAACCATCCTACTTCTACTTTTCCTATCCCTCAGTCAAATCCCTTTTCCATTCTAAATCAAGATACTATAATCTCTTAACACTTCTCTGATGCCTACCCTTCCTCCCCCTACAACCTAAACATTCTACTCTATCTTTGCCTTCCACACCCTCTCCTACACCCTCCTTCTCAATATGCTCCTTGAACATCTATCCCCTCTTCTCCTCACAAGAGATCCTTTGTTTCTCAGACCTCCCTTCCCAAATCCCCTCCAGAAACTCTTGAAGACATCCAAAAATTCCCAGACATGACCCCAAAAAATGTTCAGCTCCCTCATTAACTTTCCAATCCCTCTATTCTCAGTCCCTCTATACTCAAAGTATTTGCTGATATCCATCCTCCTCCCCTGCAAGTTCCCCCTACCCCTCTTTCTTTCTTCATAACAGCTCTTTTACCTGTTTTTCCTTAAAGAAATGTTACTGTAACTTCCCCAACAACAATTACACCTCATTCCATCCAATCGCCCTATACCCCTACCTACCCTTTATTAATGTCCGATTTACATCATTTCCACCCCCTCTTTACCCTTTTCCCTATCATACTATCCTATAACACTATAACCTTTGACATTTAATGCTTTATATACTAATCGTTAACTCATTTACCCTTTTCACCACAATATTTTACCAAAGTGCTATATGACCTTAGATGTCTAGGATAATTATTTGTTTCAACCATTAACCATGTATTGTATTATTAAGGAACTTTTTATTCTAGGCATCCGTCGTCAAACAGTACATTTTGTGTCTGATGGCCACAGACGAAGAACTGGGGGGCGGATATCAGCAATTCCGCTGGATATGAGTAAGTTATTGTAGTAGCATTATTGCTATCATTGTGTGTAATCGTTTTATTGTAGTTTGTATCTTTTAAAATGTAAATTTATTAAATATATTTTGTTAGTACTAGCTGTGTTTCAGGTGATATAAATGTAGTCACAAGTATGATCTACATAATGTGTGTAGTGAAAGTATTTTGATAGGCCTGTAACAGAAACAACAGCTCCCCACAAACTACACATATGTACACTTGAAAGTACATGGCAGTGGATATGCCAGGCAGCTTATTACAAATAACTTAAAATGTGTAAGGGGTCAGGAAAATAGTCATAGCATGTTTATTTTTCCATATTTTCCTGTGATAGTCCACCAAAAGCCTGCTGAATACTGTTAGAGTGGCTGAGAATTTTCTTTGACATTTCAATATTTTCCAAAAATAAATTGAAGAAGGAAGCCCAATATCAGCTGCACATTTACCATTTTATTTCTTTTTAATATTTCCACCTTACCTAGCCTCAAAACAAATTGTAAACTTATCTTTTGGTGGGTTTGTATTAGGCATTCTCCATTAATGAGTCTGGGAGCTAAATTCCACTGGATGTGGGTGCTTCACTGCCCACACATGGCCCTTAAAATCAAGGCATTAGGCTTACTTGACTGGTGACTTCCTGGTGTGTGGCTTGTAAGCCAGTGGGTGCACATAAAGCACTCGTTTATGGTCACGGCTTCTTACCTTCCCTTCACAATGTTATTTGTCGTTTGATATGCTTTATCAAGATGGTAATAGAATGTTTTCCTTGCATATCATCTCTCTAGGGAATCTGTAATCTATGTAATAACATTAACAAAAAGTAACTATTTGTTGTTTGTATCATTCGTTTATATTTTGTAATATTCAATTTGTTGTCATACACCCTGCACTGCCTCTTATGATGGCTGTGATTGGATTTCTAAGCATAGAAACAGTGGTCTCTTAGCAACCAGCACTCTTCCACTTATAGTTGTCAGATGGTATATTCTACACTTGTTTACCGATGGAAATAATACAAGAGCCCCTTCCTAAATGCGTTCTAAGTATAGCCACTGTCCAAAAGCTTTTTGTAGTCATGGTAAGTCATTCCTATGACCCAGACCCTCAGCTGAAATTCTCATGACTGCATGTTCTCATCACCTTAGCCTTCTGCCAATATCCCACCCCCCTTTGGTTCATTAGAATTATAATTCTTATCAGCAGTGCACACAACCTTCAAGAATACTCGTTCTTATTTTATCTCTAAATGATTTTATAGTTTAGCTTTTTTTACAACAGAAGAGTCAAGTGCTATTACCTATGCATACACAAATTATCAGTGATGAAAAAGCGGATTAACTGGAATTGCATGTATTAGTTGTATATATTTCTCCTTCAGGTAGACGTATACATCAGATGGGAATTGCACATGAAGTGGATTTGCATTCTTCACAACACACAAGCTTCCATACAGTGGTCAGCATTGATACCACTGAGCCTGCCATACCCTCTGACCCCAGGGAGTATGTTCTCAAGCTGTGCAGTCAAGTTACTCCAGTCCCCATCGATGAGTGTTTCACAGAGAGGTAATCATTAAAAAAAGTAATTCAGTTGTCAGAGTTTGAGTACATAATTCCTTTTAAAAAAGGGACTTTTGTTAACTACTAATAAATGCAATTCCTCAGCTGATCCTTACTCCCCAGCTTGTTGATAAATAAGATATGATTAAAACCAATGTAGATAAGACTATTTAGCAGTGGAGATTTTGAGGTTAAGTTTTCTATTTAGAGATATGTGCGTTGATACTTGGCTAATTTTCTGAAAGATTCTGAGGGATTTGCCTTTCTTTAACAAGATTAGTGTCTTGATATAAACTACAAGTACTGTTAGCTATGAAGTCTATCATTTTTAAGTATCATAATATTTAGACCTTTAGCAAAAGTAGCAGTGTATATAGACAATATTGTGTAACTTATTACAGAGAGCATTCATGTGACAAATTATTAAATTTTCCCTGCAGCCGTCTTGTCAGTTGTAAGAAGATTGGAGAGGGTGTATATGGAGAAGTTTTTATGACACGGCCAAACCCAAGCAACCTTGAAGGGGCAACTGTTCTCAAAATCATGCCCATCGAAGGAGATTTTGAAGTTAATGGGGAACCACAGAAGAAGTTTGGGGAAATTGTCTCTGAAATTGTCATATCTCTGTAAGCCAAATTCTGTTTTTTGAGTCAAAACCAACAAACCTTAGATAGATACTTACAAACTACATATACCTGATCTTATTGGAATTTGAAATTTTGTGTATACATACCATAATTTAATTTCATCATAATAATTTAATTTCATTATGAAACTTGCAGGGAACTGAGCAATTTAAGAAAGTCTGAAAATGAGTCGAATTGGACTGAAAACTTTGTAAATGTGCTAAACTCTTGGTGTGTCCAGGGTTGTTATATGCAAGATCTTCTGAATATGTGGGATTTATACCATGAAGAAAAAGGTATGTAATATTAGTTGTTTATCTTAAGACATCTTGCTTGTTCAATCTTGCAAGATTAGCTTATTGAGGTTTATGGATTGGGTGCAAAGTATTTCCTCAATTTTGAAAGAAAACTTTCTGTAGATTCTTTTTTTCTTTGAGATATTCGTGGTTGTTGAAGTTTCATCCTTTCTTCCAGTAGATTGAAAGGATTTTAACATTTTGAGTATTGTTCTTCTGTGTGGTTATCTGCTGCAGACTCACACTTAAGACTGCTTGATTGTTCTTTTAATTCTTTTAAATTTCTCCTGTCTGACTTAAATTTGGACATTGGACATCATAGAGTTATTGGGGCTCTTTCAGTTTTATACAAGATTGTAACCGATAATTCACATCCCCTCTATAAGATTTTACCTGATTTTTATCAACCTGCAAGAATTACCAGAAGTTCTATGACTCAATTCAATGACATTTGATGTAAGTCGATCGTCTACAAGTCAGTTTTCTAGATGCTTTTTTACTGCTATTTGTAGACTTTGGAATAGATTGCCTTCAGAGATTGTAACTTCTTCGACTCTTGATAAATTTAAAACATCAGCTAACATGTTTTTCTTCCGTAATTAGCTGACTTTCTTTTATTCATTCTTCCTTAACAGTATGTTAACCTGCACTGACACCTTTGGTGGTATAAATCTCGATTTTTTCAGTGTGGCTCATTATATAGCTTAATATGATAATAATAATAACCTTTAGGAGAATATGGGTGCTCACTTGGTATTTGCGGCCTGGGCCTTTTACAGTCACATGCAGTGTGTAACACATGTCACACCACACCAACAAAGTGATATAATTTTTTTATGTATATATCACTTGTATGGAAAACATGATTTGAATTATTCATGGATATTCAGAGATGGATGATGTGTATTATTGAAGTAGTAGCCTGAGTATGTATATTAGAGTCTATTTGAATGAATAAGGTATGTTACATTCTGTTGACAATATTGGATGTTGTATTACTGAAGGATAGAAAAAAGAAAAAGGAAAAATTGAAATCTTAATTTTACAAAATACGAGATTAATTTTGTGAAGATCTCATTTTTATGAAGTTCGAGGATGTTTGCATAAGGCATGTGGGTTAGACATGAGAGTTTCTTATAAAGAGCAAAATGAAATGTAATGTGCACATCAATATGACATGAATGACCCATATGCTGCGACATGAATCCACATTATCTGTAAGCTCTGCGTTAATGTGTAAAGATTTTTTTGTGTGATTCAAAGTCATATTCATATGTTTTTTTGATATAAAAAGATAAATAAAGACTGTTATTCATGGTCATGAGAGTGGGGGTATGTTTAATCAACTTGTGATAAGAAAGAAAAAAAAAACAATATTTGACCAAAATATCCATTTTCTGTGTGTTTTATACCTATTGTGTTTTATTTTCCGTCTTACTTTTTTTCTCCTCCCATTTTTCTTTTCCCTTCAATTCATCTATCCTTTTCTCCTTTTCGCCTTCCTGCCCTTCCTTCCCATCCCTTCCCATTTCATTCATTCTGCTTTTGTCTGTCTGTACTTCTCACCTTTCCATTCTTATTATATATTTTTTCTTGTTTCTCATTTTGCCTGTTTTATTTCGTATCTCTTCTCTCTTCTCTTTTCCATTTTCTCAATTGGAAATCTCAACTCTCCTTTTTTTTGTTTCTTTCTTTCCTTCTATCCTTCTTTCTTTCTTTCTTTCTTTTTCTAACTTTCTTTTCTTCTTGCATTTTGTTTTCTTTCTTTCTTTTTTAACTTTCTTCTTTTGTTTTTACTTTCTTTTTCTTTTCTTTCTTACTTTCTTCTTTCCTATTTTGTTTTTCTTTTCTTTTATATACTTTCTGTCACTCTTTGCTGTTTTTGTTACCCCGGACTGATCATTCTTTGCTTCCAGGTTCCGAAAATGACCGACCGGACCTCTTCCCTGATTCACAGCTCTATATCGTGTTGGAGTTTGGACATGGTGGAGGCGATTTGGAGAGTTATGTGTTCAACAATGCTGGGGAATCACTGGCTGTATTTTTTCAGGTTAGAGTTTTTCTTTCTTTTCTTTCTTTTTGTGTTTTGTTTCCATTTATAAGGTCAAACAGACGTCTTTTTGAGTGTAAGAACTTGGGAATTTTATATCAGTTTACAAGTTCTTTTCAGAAAAGTTTGAGAGCTGTATATTAATAAAGTGAGTAATGAGATGTACCATGTTGCCAGAACATTTAATTATTATTATTATTTTTGTTATTGTTTTTGTAGTTATTTATTTATTTATTCTTTTTTTTAAGGGGGGTGGGTTACTTATGTTTTTTTTTTTGTATATTTACCTACTTATTTACTTATATGCAGAGTTTATTAGATCTTCATTCCAGTTTTCTTCAGTGATGTCCTAGTGTCTGCACTGGTATTGCATCCTGGGGTGGATGAGCATTAATCTAGTATACACTTTTATTTGGATGTGACTAGATTACTTACTCATCCACTACAGTTTGGCCCAATCTTCAGAAACGACTCCAACAAAATTTTGGCACAACTGATGGGATATCATCGTGTACATTTTCATTGGCTAACTAGTGCCACGGTACAAGTGAAGCATTCCTAATATCTTGTGGTCCTTCCTCTCTCTATGTTTTTTTTTTTCTAGTTTTCTCATTGTTTCCATCTTTTGTTTCTCTTTGTCCTTCTTCTTGTCTTTCTCTCTCTCTCTCAGTGGAGGTGGTGGTGAAAGGGTCTTGGGTTGTTGGTTTATTGGGAGGTAAAGGTGTGACCCCCGAGAGTGACCCCGAGCCCTGAGTGAGGAGGGCGGAGCATGGCCCCCACTTGTTCTGACTGCTCCTGCTGGCTCTCTGGTCTGCTTCTGTTGCCTTCTGCCCGACAGGATGTCCTTATATCCACCGACTCCTTGTCCTGCTGGCGGAGATGCCTAGTACCATATACTTGGGTGTCCTTCATACGGTCGGGACAAAGGGGGTGAATTTGCCAGACTTGCTCAAGGAGAAAGTTCCATAGGTAAACACAAGCTCGGGTGTCGTAGGCGTGTGGAGCGCGAAGTGGCTGTTTCCTCTGGTGCTGTAGATACAGGAGGTAAACACAAGCTCGCGTGTTGTAGGAGCAAGGAAGGTGTGAAACAACACCCATCCAGTAGAGCATATCTCTCTCTCTCTCTCTCTCTTCTTCTCTCTCTCTGTATCCTCTCTCCTCTCTCTCTCTCTCTCTCTCTCTCTCTCTCTCTCTCTTCTCTCTCTCTCCGTCTCTCTCTCTTCTCCTTCTCTTCTCTTTCTCTTCTCTCTCTTCTCTTCTCTCTTTTCTCTCTCTTTCTCTCGCTTTCTCTTTCTCTCTTGCTTTCCTCTCTTTCTCTCTCTTTCTCTTTCTCTCTCTCTCTCTTTCTCTCTCTCTCTTTCTCTTCTCTCTCTTTCTCTCCTCTCTCTCTCTCTCATCTCTCTCTCTCTCTCTCTCTTCTCTCATTCTCTCTCTCTCTCCTCTTCTCCTCTCTCTCCTCTCTCTCTCTCCTCTCCTTCCCCCTCCCTCCCCCGCCCCTCTCTCCTCTCTCTTCTCTCCTCTCTCTCTCAT